AATTAACAAATACACAGATTTACACTGATTTTTCATGAGACTTTGTATATCTAATAGGAAAATAACTTTTCAAAATGTTTAAACCTTTATTAACGATGGAATGACATTACACGTGAATGAGACAAGTAATGATATTAGTTAATAATAATAATAGTAAGTTTGTCTATTGATTTGTAGTTTAAAGGCAAAAAAGTGCATAGATAACAGAAAAATGAATATTTATTAAAATACAAACATGTATAAACCGAAAAAAACGTCAAATCAGATTCCTAGAGTAGTGAACAAGAACACGAGTGGGGACAATCGAATGTATTTTAGCACAACATTACAGAATATCTCATTAGAATATGAGAACCATATGGTGAACTGTTAATTTGCAAAATAACAATCAATTGTCTCAATTTAACTGTCTGATGAAGAAAGTAAACAGCTCGATTTTGGCCCATTTAGTACAAACTGGTCATAGTGCCAGTATAAACCAATCTTTTTCAATTATTTATAGGGTCAGTAATTTTTTGCCTAAGCTTGTCATGCTTAAAGTCCTTCAAACGGCGGAGGCAGTAGCCATCAGAATGAAGAAACCTGAGCTATGTGTACAGAAGAAATATCTCCAACCCCTACTTCTCCCTTGGCCAACCACAAGGCCAATTAATGAACAATCATCTTAGCTATTGTATGACCTAATTTGACTATGTACTTACGACCTTTCGTAGTCAAATGTAATTGTCTCTTATCTTTAATCACAAATCTTTGTATTTTATAATAATAATAATAATAATAATAATAATAATTATTATTATTATTATTATTATTATTATTATTATTATTATTATTATTATTATTATTGGTTAAATATCATTATTAATCCCCCCTAAACATGATTCATTCACATCGCATTGATCCCTCCTTATTACGTCTCACTAACTTTTCACACATTTAGTCTTCCACTTGATCGAATTGTAATTGCACTATCATATCTCTCTCACCCTATCTGACCCATATTTATATTCTGATCACAGATCTTAAATTTTCATTTTACGTATATACAGATTCAAGTTAACATTCTATATGAGTCATATCAACATTAACTATTTGGTTTGACAATCCTAAATTTACATGCATTAAACTATGTACTTTGCCTTTAACCTGGCCAATTTTTCGGATTATTAATTTGGATATATAATTGTAGAACCTGAAAAGAATTTATCGAAAAGAATATTCTTCGTTCAAATATTAGTCTTTTAATATGATTGGGATTTTTAAACGATTAACTGTTTCTTCTGCAAATATCCGTCCATAGTCTCCGATTATAATTGTTCATGCATTTCCGTACCAATTGTGTGCCGTTCCTGTTCTCTCTTTATCGATCTTCTACTGAAATACATTCAGTGCCCAACCATCACCACATACTAATTATGTGGATATCAGTAACCCACATCACACTAGGAATGGTTATAAGACGAATAAAAATAGTGAACAAAGTTATAGTGAAACTATTTAAACTTGTCTAACGTGATTAAACAAGAGACTGGTTATTATTTTGATTTATTTAAAGACGCAGATCTGAAAATGGAAAACAGATTGAAAAAATAATTTTCTTTTATACATTAGCTAGATGTAAAATGATTCGGATAACTACAGCCTTTTATTTACTTGGTAGATATAAATCCATAGACACCTTCACAGTATATATATATAACACTAAAGTAATATTTAAGAATTTGCGTAAAATGGTGAAAACCTGACATATATTGCAACTGAAATTAATCACTTGATAAATTAGAAATTGATGTATATTTAAAAGAAGATAATTTGAGCATATGACTAATTGCTAAGATAAATTATTAGCATGATCATAATGGTATTTGATTTGATTATTAAAAGTATATCAAAGTACAAAAAAATGCAATTTATTTTTATATGCCTAACTTATTTAATTAATGAAATAAGACAATATATATATATATATATACTGAAAAGAAGAAAACAAAAGTAGAATAATATTCGTTTAGGCATTAATTAATAATGAATTTGTTTGTGAGTATTTATGCACTATAATAGAATGATCTTAATAAAAAAATATGATCAAATAATGGAAAAGTTTTTAATACTCAAATGTAAATGATTTCTAAGGATCAGAGTGAACATCAACTCTGAGATGCAGGTACATCCAGTTGACGAGCCCCAAATAGGACGAAACGCGAGTCAAACTGGATTCCACTGCTAGCCACTATCCATCTTTGCTTACAATGCTTGTGAAATAAGGCTATATCGAGGCAATACGCACAGTATGCACATATGCCAATTAGAAACTGACCAGTTGCAGTTCTAAACATCAATGGGAAGATTCAAACAAACAATACTAAGTGTATTATTAAGGATACTTATTTTATTATGATTTAAATAGTTTTGATTGTGGGATTGTTGTTCAAATTAATAACCATGGCACTGTAATTCGATTTTGAAACGATACAAAATCAACGAAAAGTAATAATATAATCTTGAAACTGTTTACTATGTTTATTAAACAAAATAAAAATTACAGCGAAACAAATTAGTAAATGAAATTTTTTTAGTTGATGAGCACGTTTTAAGAATCGTTTTCGTTACAGAATACTAGTAAGCACTGCATAGCTATTATTTTGTAGTTTGGCACTCCTTAGTAGTGAATACTAGTGACTCAATTGGAGACTGAATCTATAATATTCAAGACTCTTTTCAAGTTTGTAGGTTTGTAATACTGGAAAGTTTAGAATTAGAACATATCAGATGTGAAATCCTTCTTGGATTTTATTAATTCTTCTACTGATATCAGTCAATTGTGAGAACCTTCTTCAAATAGAACTTTTGTTGCGAAGTAAATCAGTAGTTAACATCAGAGTTCAATTGCTATCGGTAAAATTTTCAAATATCCAGTGACTAATTGTTGTTACTCTCCTCTGTTTATTTAAAGGTACATCTACACTATTTGCAAAACGAAAATGTAACTCATTAACTATACTAACTATATTTCACTTACACCTAGAAAAGTAATATAAAATCATACAAAGAAATGGTCAATCTGATTTCCAACATACTGATATTTATTGATTTCGAATACTATGCATAGGATTCTGTTTCTTTTTTCTGCTCTTATGACTTTCTTCTATCCTGTTAAGTACATCGATTTCAAATTCATTAACTAACTTTTGTGAAAACGACGTTTTTAAATCACGTTACTATTCATCATTTTAGTATATTTGTGAACAATAATAAAGATTGAAATAAATTGAATTGATTTTATTCTGTGAATCTTAGTGGATAAGACTATAATTTATGGATGACCTTAGAGCTGTACTAAAATGGTATTGAGAAATTTCAATTACTTACTAGTGTTATAATAGGATTATAAATTCGTATTAAGAATTAGGATTACGTGTTATGGTATTCATTAAAAAAAACTGTCAACACCTACAATGTGAAAATCCTATTTAGTCCATAGAGATGAATGAAATTCGTGCGAAAAACTAAGTCTCTCTGTCTTAAATCTGATTGATTCGTCCACTCGACTCTTGCTTGTATCAATCAATATTAGAGAATATAATAATTTGTTTTGAAGAAATAATTTCAACTTAGGAACTCTCAATATTCAACATTACGCGTACTCTTCCAAGTGAGGTGTGGTCTACTTATATCCATATAAGTAGTATATGGTGATGGTTAGACATAGAATGTATTTTGGCAGAAGATCGATAAGGAAAGAACTCAAATGAAGCGCAATTGGTAGGAAAATGCATGAACAATGAAATTAGAGAAGATGGATTGATATTTACAGAAGGAACAGTGAAGATTGAGACAATTGGTTGTTATTTTGCAAATTAAGTATTCATTGTGTGGTTATCAGAATTTAGTGAGATAGTCTGTGATATATGTCTAAATATATTCGATTTTCACCAGTCATGTTTTGTTCACTACACTGGGACTTGTTTAAAAAAAAAGATAAATATCTCAACAGAAATGAAAAGAGAAAATATAATAGATAATATAGGAATTTTATAATCATTTCCAAGTAAACTACATTTACGACTATGCACAATTGCGTTTTGTTTTTCATACAAGTGAAATAAAATTATTCGATATATATACTATCAGAATATTTGGCAATAATTTACACAAAAGTCTTTCATAGAGACATATATGATACATCAATTTAGAAAACGAAAAAGAGACTATTACATCCATTAGAAAAATAATGAAAAAAGACAAAAGAAAAATGTTGAAGAAGAAACAGTATTCTTATTGATTATTATTTAGTATGTATCAGAATAGAATTACATATAATGATTATCTTAATTGGAGAGCTAGTTTTGGTTATCAAAGGCAAATATTTTACAAAAGTTTACTGGGTTAAGTATGTACTATCTACTTTAGTCTTATGTAACGAAAAATTCCATAATATTTATTAATTTTCTTCCATATATTGCTAAAGATTGTTTACTGTTTCTTAGAACTCTTGTAAGATAAACATCTATAATCGAATGACGAGATGCTCAGGCCAGATATTTTATAGACAGGGTCATTGTGTGGAGGTTGACGAAACAGTATAAAGATTTATTGAAATTCATATATAAATATATACAATCATAAGTACAGAGTCAGTCAATTAATCAATTAATCAATCAATTGTGAGTTAACAAATTCTAGATGTACACACAAACACTTTGTTGTAGGGTAACATTAATGTGCTCTCAAAGTGTGTTGTTAATAGTTTTCTTGAAATACTATTGTAAACATGTCTGAGAGCAAGTCTCATTCAGAAATACTATATATCTACACAATTAGAAACATATTTGTGTGTGCTCACGTGCCATTATCACGATAGAAAAAAAAACAAGTAAACAAAACTCAGTCTGTTAAATAGACAGTTAGTGAACTTGCAACAGATACACCATCGACCTTGACAATAGTGAATGTGTGTTTATCTGACTTTATTATAAAATATGTAGTTGTATTTGTTGTGTCACTATTCATCTTGGTTTCAAAGTTTATGTGTGTATATTTGTATTTGTGTATATGTGTGTACGTATATAAGTGTTTACTTTCTGTGAGCACCTATCTATGAGTATGAAATATCTTGAAAATTCTTAAAAACGACTCATATTACAGAAGTATTAAAAATTGTTAAGTGTAGTGGTATATTTCTTGGCAGGAACGAACATTTATTTCTCTACAATTGAAATTACAGTGTATAATAGACAAATACACATTTGGTGCATTATTATCTTAGTCTACAATATAAACGTATATACATATACTAAATATAATACCATTTAAATATTGATAAACTGGACTATTATTTATTTAATATATTGTAAAATATTCATTATACCATTCAATATTCAATTTTCAAGAAAATTAGAGGCCGACAAATCAACTCATCATGAACGAATCTTTTGATGATCAGGTGAGTTTCAATTTCAAAGACTGTTTTACTACATACATTAAAGTCTATTGAATAGAATCAATTATTTATGGCAATTATAGATAACCGATTATTTTGCAGGTAGTTTCATTCCGTATCTCAGCTGGACTCAGTAACAGAACCTTTCAGAAACAAGGATTGATTAATAGCTATTCAATTCATGTTTATGACTGTTGTTCAGTGTTAACTCATAATATCTGGGAGTCAATCAATCACAAAGATTCAACTCACTGTATAACAGCTCTAATTTTAATATCTAAATTTCCGGTTACTTTATTGTTGCATATACGTTTCCGATTTCCGCAAGATTATGACGATAACATATGTTCTTCTGTCAATAACGTTGCTTAGTTTCAACTTGTCAGTTACGTAATCTATGGTGACGTTTACTGGTTGAAATTTTCGGAATAAAGATGTTTCTTGTAGTAAAAGATTGCATAGTATTTAGCAAGTAGAACGTTGTTCTCAAGAATGATTTAAGAGTCATTACCAGTTTAATCAAAAACGCCAGGTGTGTTTGGTTATCCATAGATCACTTCGCATGCTGATCGTTCTGACGGGACCTGGAAACGCCGACCTTTGGATGCTAACGCACTTGCTGGAATGCGGAACATTGGGTACAAGATTTGCGAGATTCTATTCTGTCTTATGTAAATGTGTGAATGAACACTGCTAAAAGGTTCTATTAATCCTTTAGCTGAGTGTTGAATGTCAATCAACCGAGTATAAATTAAATTTCGTGCAAACTTCTGCCACCATTCAACTGTTCTTTCTGAGTTTCCAAGCTTTTTCAATAATCTAATCTTTACATTAAATTAATATCCACAATACTTCTCAATGAAATTCACTTGAATCTAGTCGCATATGTTCACAAATGACTTTTGAATAGAAATTTACGGTTTGATTAATTAAAGGATTACCAGTCCACAAAAGAAATGATTTTTCCCTACCATAAAGTGTATAATCAGATTGATTTAAGTTACTCATTAACATCTTATTTAATATAATGTCATTATAAACGTGAGAATATGACTTTTGATTATTAATAAGGCAAATACACTTGAATACCTTTTGGTCATTTTCAATCTTCGATAATGATCTAAACGAACTTAAGCTTTAAACATACAATTACTACGTCTTTTCCTAATTTGCTCTTCATCTAGAAGCTGGTTTGTCCTCTCCCATAAAACGCTGTTGCTGACAGTACCCGGCCAGTGAATATTGAGTAGTTTGCATAGACAACTGATTATAAATACTTGTAACTTCTTGACGATGGATAAAGTAATTTTCCACGTTTCAGCTCCATGCCGTAGGACTTTCTTGATGTTCGAATTAAAGATTCTGACTTTGATATTGGTTGACAGTCGTTTTGAGTTCCATATGTTATTGTGGTGTATGAATGCTGTTCTTGCTTTGTCAATCCTCGCCTTTACATGTGAATCAGATCCTCCTCGGTCATCGATGATGCTACTCAGATACGTAAAACTTTCCACCTCTTTCAGGGTTTCCTCATTAAGTGTGATTAGTTTGGCGTTCTCCGTGTTATATTTGAGAATCTTGTTTGTTGAGGCCTATTGATATAGAGGCTGCTGCTACATTAGTTGTCTTCGTCTGTATTTGTTCGTGTGCATGGTGTAGGAGGGCAATGTCATCTGCGAGGCTCGTATTGTATAGTTGCTAGCAAGCTATCCATTGTATTCCGTGCTTTCCCTAAGATGTCGAGGTCTTCATAATTCAGTCAGTCACCAGAAGAAAGAGGAAGGTGGAGAATAGACAGCCTTATCTGACTCCGGTTCACACTTGGAATACATTTGTCAGTCATCGTGCGAGCACAACTTTGCAGTTTAGTTCTTGTATGAGTTCCGGATAATGTTGAGAATCTCAGGAACTCCATAGTGTCGAAGACATTTCCAAAATGTTCTACAGTCCACACAGTCAAACACCTTCTCATAGTCAATGAAATTGATGTATAGTGACGAATTCCACTAAACTGATTGCTCGATGATGATCCGTAGTGTCGCAATTTGGTCTGTTCACGATCGATCCAGACTGTTGATCTCGAAGTTTTGCGTCCACTGCGTCTTTCATTCAGTTCAGCAACACTCTGTTGATAACGTTTCCTGGTATTGACAACAGTGTAATGTCTCTGGGATTCTTACATTTTCTCAGATCTGCTTTCTTTGGTATCGTGATGATGTATCTTTTTTTCCAGTCCGTTGGCATTTATTCTTTCTCCCAATTCTTCTTGAATAGAAGGCGGAGCATGTTTGCAGTTACTTCAGTGTCTGACATTAGTACTACAGCTAGTACATTGTCAGGTACTGTTACTTTCCCATTCTTGATTTGTCCGATGGCCATTCTCATTTCTTCGATCGTTGGTGGATTGACATCAATAGCAAGGTTAATGTGTGCTGCTTCAGTGTCCGGTGGATTTATTGGGGCTGGTCTATTCAGCAGTTCCTCAAATTGTTCTACCAACCTGATCCTCCTTTCTTGAATCTCCATGATTGTCATTCCTTCTTTGTCTTTGACCATTCTCTCCGCCTTACTATATCTCCCTGCTAGTTTCCACATTGTATCACACAGTTTTGTCACATTTTCTTCTCTTGCAGTTTATTCCGCTGTCGTTGTTAGGACTTTAACGTATTTGTGATTGTCGGCTTCAATGCTCTTCTTCACTTACTTGTTTGCTTCACCGTACTCTGCTTGTGCATTGACTTTCTCTGCTCGTGTTCGACTGTTGTTAATTGCTGTCTCCTTGTTCTTCCTTTAGTGAATCTTGTTCAGGGTTCCCGTAGAGATCCATTCCTTATGCTGATGATGCTTCTTTGATCACTTTCAAGTTGTCTACCATAATAGTTTCTTTTTCTTTCACTGTGTGCTGTAAGTCTTGGAACCTGTTGTTGAGAGTAACCTTGAAATGGGTGAGTTTGTCAGAATGTTGAAGGAGGATTGTATTGAACCTTTATGATGTTGTTGCTCCAGTTGTCCAATGATTCTTTAGTTTTACTTTCATGTTCATGACTTTGAAGTGGTGATCTGAAGTTATGTCAGCTCCTCTCGTGGTTCTCACATCTTCCATTCACGTTGTGAATGTTTTACTGATGGAAATATGATTGATTTAGTTTTCTGTGGTGTGTTCTGTTTAGATCCATGTAACTTTAAGTATTGTAAGTAATGCGATAAGCTAACATTTGAGTCCATTCAGGAGATTTTAGTCGGAAAACGTCCAAATATTATTCAAGCACTGTGAAGATCTACGTTATTCTCAAACAAGAAGTTGTAGGCCAAAACATTAACGGGCATATAAATTTTGAACATATTCAAATGAGGTTTCACGCATCATCCAATAAATCATAAGAATCATATTTAAAGTTTGTTTACCAATTTCTCAAGATTACTCATTAATCAAAGATGTTCTAATATTTTTCGGATTTATTCAGGATACAGAATTCACATATGAAATACCAGATTGTTTAATGGATGGAGACTATATCGAAATTCACGGAGTATGTCATGGTAAACGGTAAGTTATACTTAAATTATTGTTTACAGCATGTCAGCATAGTATTTTGTTAATGTCAAAAAGGTATTTAACTGATCCCCTCATAAAGTTTGAATTAATAATAGCAAATAATGAGTTGCTTAAATTATTTGAGTTTTAGAATAATTTTATGTCAGAGTGATGGTAATTTGAGTTGTCAGTAAAAACGTGATTGAGGAATAAAGCGTGGAGGATTCATGTTGCTGATTACTACAGCTTACTATTTTATCTGTATTTAAAATACGGTTGCCAAAATTCTGAAAATACATTATTATTGAAAAATTTAATTGTATACTGTAAGACAGCAGTTTTATACCAGGACACCAAATCCAGTTAACATTTATATATAGTAAATTTAGAATAGAGTAATAAGCTCATAAATTTTAAACTGATGTCAAATGAGCAAAGATGGATAGTGACTAGCAGTGGAATCCAGTTTGACGCGCGTTTCGTCCTATTTGGGTCTTGTCAGCTGGATGTACCTGCATCTCAGAGTTGATATTCGCTCTGACGAGTCCCAAATAGGACAAAACGCGCGTCCTGAGTTCCACTGCTAGCCACTATTCATCTTTGCTTACCATGCTTGTGAATTAAGGCAATATCGAGGCAATACGCACAGTATGCACAATATGCCAATTGGAGACTGACCAGTTACAGTCCTAAACATCAATGGGAAGATTCAAACCAACAATACTAAGTGAAGTCAAATAGTTTAAATGATAGTTTTGTGACTTGATGGTGCGTAATCTAAGCTAGACAGTTTTGGTATCGATTTCGATGACATTATCAGAGTCCACATTAAGTAAAGTACAAAACTGATGAACAACAACGAAAGCTTGATAATTAAATCATTTAGCTGCTAAAGCAGTAATATATCTTTTTTTAAATATAAATAAATCATTAGTGATTCAGTATGATCATCTCAATGAACTACAACTTATTCATGTTAAAATAAAGAGAGAATTCATTATTCAAAAGTCTTTGTCTCAAATAATAGTAGAATTAATCAGGATAAATGATTATAAGAATCATTTAAAAATTGAAGTAAATAAATTCGTTGAGAAGAGATAGTGTTTTTAATGTTTGAATGAGAATGAAATGGTAATTTCTTTCAAACACGGAAGGCATAATGATTACATATAGTTCATTGGAGAAAAGATAACAGGAACACACAGGCCAAGTACATAAAAATTCACATGAATGTAATAAGCAAGGTCACAGATAATATAGAAACAGAATGGTCATAAAATACTTGACCAGTTTGGAATAAACCATTCGATGAATAGAGTTGTGTAGAAAAAAATAGACTGCATGTAAATACAACAATAACTTCTACAACACTTCGAGACTTGTTTTCGCTCCTCCAGACTTGTACAGATGACTGTGGAATATGTAAGTGCTTACATCTATCCTGTTAAAAAGCATGCGACTGAGGCAGTTTCTTTTTGGATAGTAGCATTTTTTGATACTTATTGTTACTACTACACAGATTGGTTATAGTTCAACCGATTTTTTTTCAAAAATAAAATGTGTTAAGTGAAATAGAACCTTCAACTACATGACCTCTGATGAACATAGACTTAGTTGAGTAGACAAAATCTGAAGAGTAACGTATGAAGTGAAACACAAGCATTTGATGGTATTATTCAAGTTACAGAATGCTATTGTTAGTTTTCGGTCCTAAATAAACCATAACGAGTAAGAAATTTTTCAAAGGTATACTTGAAGCCATTTGTTATACAATTAAATAACTAAGAGAACAAAGAACTAACTAGAAATGGTTTCTCATATTCTGGCTTAATTTAACAGCTATTTACTTTTGAATCCTCTGAAACCAATTGTCGAATGATGCCAGTTGTACATTAGTTTGTGATTTAATGTGAATTATACATTTAGTATATTAATGGGATTAGAAAACATAAGACTATTTACCTTTATTTATAACATTATAAAATTAATAAATATCTATTGTTTGAAATTTCTTACAGAATCGTTTTTGAATTATTAACAGAAGAAGGTTCTACTCACAATGTATTTGATAAATTACCTTTACAAATCATTCTAACAACAGATGGTCTAGTGACTGTAATTAGTCGTAATCCAGAAAAGGTAGCAAAGCAAGAACGTACTATGGAGAATGGTATACAAATCAATAAACCTTTCGAATTATGCGTACATGCATATAAGAAATGTTATGTTGTAAGCATAAACTGTATTATTTTTAAATATTTTCATTAATTCTAAGTACATGTTTTTTACTAGGTAACCTATTATTTTGAATTGATTCAAAACTGCATTTGACTGGCTGTATAAAATTGTGAATATCAAAAATTGTGCTATAAAAACTACATCTATAGCATTAAGCTTAAGTTTTGGATTTTGTTAATTGTTTTACTAATACAATATATACATTTATGAATAATATCAAATAATTTTTCTAGATATTTATCAGGAAATAAAGGTTATGAATGGTGTTTATTTCCAGCTGGTGACTATTCAGTAAGCAGCAAAATCCTTAAGAATTAAGAGCTTTGGTTCTGTTTGAAATCCAAGTTAATTCAAAATACTTTGTTTCTATGGTTACATAGTGCCTGGGCAATGTAAAAATAAAAAAATAAGAGGGATTTATAGATTTATTTTATATTTTGTCTTTTTTATTTCATTTAAACCAAGCTTATTGGAGTAGAAAATTAGAATTTTTACTACTTCTCTCACAGTTCGACAAACTCATCACTTAAATAATATTAGTGATAAAAGCTCCATGTAATTTATCAGCCTATAGTACATATTTGAAAATTTATATCATTTGCTATTAGGCGTTGTCATTTAAATATTATGAAATCACTGAAATAGGTTCGAACATGGAAACTGATTCTGAACAGCACTAAGAATATGATATTCATGTGTATATGGGTAGACCGAAAGTTGAAATTATACTCATTCAAGTTGTAGACCAGAAAGTGAATGATTCGAGTATAAATATTTTGAATAGTTGCATATAAATAATTTTATTTGGTGGTAAAAAGGAAAAAAAATTTCGTCAAAGTTTTCCTGTCAAGTGAAGCGAATCAGTTAACTGGTAAACTCGAGTTCAACGTATAATGGTTCCTCTCAACAAACTGCAGTTAATAAATCTGGTTTATTTTTGTCATTCTGATATCTGGGCAATAATAAACAATATCAAAACAAAGTATTTTGAAGGTTTAATATAAACATCTGAAATCGATATTGTGTATCAATGGATGCTGGTCAAATGACATAAAGATGACGCGTTTGCTGTTCATCTGGAAGGTTCTTTGTCCAACCATTGACATTGGATATTAATGGGTACTGCTGAACTTACTACCTTACTTACATATTCCTGTTACCGATCTTAGAGGCCGCTCACCAGCAAATTCAACAATTTCTCAAATTGTTCTACCAACCTGATCCTCCTTTCTTGAATCTCCATGATTGTCATTCCTTCTTTGTCTTTGACCATTCTCTCCGCCTTACTATATCTCCCTGCTAGTTTCCACGTTGTATCACACAGTTTTGTCACATTTTCTTCTCTTGCAGTTTATTCCGCTGTCGTTGTTAGGACTTTAACGTATTTGTGATTGTCGGCTTCAATGCTCTTCTTCACTTATTTGTTTGCTTCACCGTACTCTGCTTGTGCATTGACTTTCTCTGCTCGTGTTCGACTGTTGTTAATTGCTGTCTCCTTGTTCTTCCTTTAGTGAATCTTGTTCAGGGTTCCCGTAGAGATCCATTCCTTATGCTGATGATGCTTCTTTGATCACTTTCAAGTTGTCTACCATAATAGTTTCTTTTTCTTTCACTGTGTGCTGTAAGTCTTGGAACCTGTTGTTGAGAGTAACCTTGAAATGGGTGAGTTTGTCAGAATGTTGAAGGAGGATTGTATTGAACCTTTATGATGTTGTTGCTCCAGTTGTCCAATGATTCTTTAGTTTTACTTTCATGTTCATGACTTTGAAGTGGTGATCTGAAGTTATGTCAGCTCCTCTCGTGGTTCTCACATCTTCCATTCACGTTGTGAATGTTTTACTGATGGAAATATGATTGATTTAGTTTTCTGTGGTGTGTTCTGTTTAGATCCATGTACCTTTGTGTATTCGTTTGTGTGAGAATATTGTGACACCTATAAACATTTGTTCAGGGCACATAGGTTTGCATGTCTTTTTCCATTCTCGTTCATTTTTACCAGTCAGTCCAGGTCGTACCATGATGTCTTCATATCTGGTGTTGTCCATTTCGGCTTTGGTGTTTAGATCTCCCATAAGGATGGTGAGGTCATTTTCTGGGTACTTCGCTGTGATTGATTTCAGCCTCCCATAAAACTGATCTTCATCGTCGTCATTGCTTTCACTGGTGGGTGCACTACTTTGGATAACATTCATTGCAACTCCCTCGTTCTTTGGTTTGAAGGATGCTTTAATTATCCTAGATCGATGAGATCCTCAACCATCAGGTGCTTTGCATGCTTCTTTTGACAGCATCGAAGCAACTTCCTCAGTGTGTGGAGCACTTTTTTCTTCTTTACTGGAGTACAGAAGTATCTCTCCCGTATCTGGCCTACGCCGTTCAGTTTGGGTCCGATGGGTACCGCTGATTTCGAGAACCACCATTTTGTATCTCCTCATTTGCGTTGCTATTTGAATGGTCCTTCTATATTGTCAGGACTTTTCACGTACCCATAAAAATTTTGCTCTGGTTGTTAAAAAGGGCATCGGCCTCGCGACTTCCGTAGAATCTCGATTTTCATCCTGAGGCCTTATAATTTTTCGTTCAACTTGGGGGACAGGGTTTATGCGCTTTAATTAGTTTATTCTGGTTGACGTTTTTTGGCAAGATTTTTTTATACGGAATTGGGTTGATGACTTCACGCCCAACTTTCCTCCCTTGCCCGAGCTTGAGATCGGTAGTGACTCTAGAAGAGCTACAGAGGGAGTTTAAAAATGGAACCCTTTCTCTGTATCATTCCAATTTTGGTATATGCACCTCTTAAGCGAGTATTGGTGAACGTGTAAATTAAATCTTAACAGCTGTTTATTTCTGCCTGTACATTGGAATTTCTCTGATGATGTCAATTTTTACCACAATTGACAATCACCCAAACTAAAATAATCTATATTTATAAAGAATATATTTTGTGCTTTGTTATGAGAACTACCAGAAATGTCAAGTATAGAACAAATCTTCTCTGGATTCCCAAGATGAGTTGCCACCAGTTTACATAAATCGTAGCGATACGATTTTTCACTACAGTTCTTTAAATGGAGAAACATGTCAACTTTATCGATTATCTAATAAATAATATCTTTTAACTATGTAGATCAAGTGCGTACATACGTTCTCACATATCATTGTAGCCCTGGTAACATAGTGCTTGTAGACAGCTTTACTGCCCATTTATCTAATAACTTTACAACCGGTCATTTTATTTTTGTTTTCTCTAAACATATTGTTCATTCATTCCACTAATCTTACGTCATTATTTATTGAAGTGAAATATTTTTCCATGACTGACAGATACCAATTGGGATAAGCTAACATTTTAACGTTCATACTTTGCTCAAATTTGATAACACATTGTTAAAAGATCATAACTAAAACTAAATAACTCTTTTGTACCCTATTGGTGATCATTTATTTCTGAATTGTATCAGTTGACAACAAAAATTAAAAGGAATGTAACCACTTAAAAGCCAGCTATTTTCATTGATTGTTTCACAATTCATAATCAGATATAAATATCATTTTTCTTCTGATCATCATGCAACTATTTAGTTATAGAGTCATATCATTTTCGTTTGTTGAATTAAAAAAAAAACATTTTGTCATACACAAATGTCCTAGATTTATTTGTTTTACTATTGTAATTATTAACTACAGTGCACAAAATTAACTTTTTTTGAAAATGTTAAATAATATCTTTTAAAACATATTGAGGATACTATGACAGTGATACTCTTACAGATTAGGTAAAATAAGGAAGTTTCATGTGAATTTATTATATGATAACTTTGATAATCATATTCATTTTAATGGTTTAACAGTTAGAAATACAGATTTTAAGTAAGAACTAAGGCTGAATTTCTTTGAATAACTAATCTAACAATTGATCCAGATTGATTATTGCAATATGTTGGGATGTAACTACAGAATCGTGATCGATTAAACATAATTAAAAAAGTGTTTTACACTAGGTTTTCTAGCAAGAGATAACGTGTAATGCATGTTCTATAGCTAGTTATCGACTATATTCTATGGCTAAATTTTAAGATATAGACCTCAATCTCTATTCCGAATTCCCAGTTACCAATTCTTTTAAACTGGGCAATAATTGACATGACTAAGAATATATATTATGGTCCATGCATTTTACTGCATTACAATTGCCTAAATGTCCAGAGGAACTTTGTGGAATATATCGTAAACTCATCAATTTACTACTGAGTAGTGAAGATAATAGTTAGTAGCCACAGTTTTGAAATTAAGAACGAACAAATGGCATTAATTATAAGCCCCCAAATGCCCTGGTACGGCCGAGAGTCCGGAGAGTCCGCTCTCCCTCTCGAAATACTCTCACATGGCCACGCGAATATATAGCCTCTGCCAGAGAAGTCCTACTCACTGCCTTCTCATGGCAGGGATGTTGTCCACGAAATTGGGAGGACGAAAAACGAATGCCCGGAGCTTTAACCGGGTTGGTGGACACGGAAAGTCCACCTAGGGGAGTTGGAAAACCTTGATTCCAAACCGATGGTGAACATAGGCTCCAGGATCCTGAGGGAACAAATGGCGTACGAATCAATCGTTGATCACCGGCTACCATGGGACTGCATCTGTTGACGTTGCTCCAATGCCTTGTGGATCAGACCTTTTAGTCAAAGGCTCCGGGTGTGGCCCCCTAAGAAAACCACCTGCTTCAGTTTGGGCATCTCAGCAGTATCACAGCTCTCACACAAATCGAATGAGTTTTGTGCGGCGCATATATATTTGGTGCCTTCTTGTACCAATATTTATATGTTTAAACAAATAAAATAATAAACTCGGAAAAAAAGACGATAATTGAATTTGAAATATGTATTTATATATTTCAACTGAAATTTCATTATTAAGTTTCAAATCATTCAAATTTTCTCTTGTTCTTATGTTTTCTCTTCTTCTATAGGTTAAATTAAACGGGGAGGACGTTTGTAGCCAAGATCATCTTGTACCATTGAATGAAGCGTTTGCTTTATCAATGCAAGGAAAAGTTGATATACTATCTCTCGAATTTAAAGACATGTATTATGATGAAGAGGAAATGAATAATAATACAAATATGTCTTCTGCTATTAATAACAGTAATAGCATTAGAATGGAGGATACACAAGCGGGCTTTGTACGTGTCAATGAGCTAAGACAAAGTTCCATACGCAGAAATGATCCACCAGTAATGGTACCAACAAGAACAGGTTCCAAATTGGACAAACAATCAATAAAAAGTAAAGATAGTAATCTAGAAGTTACTGCTTGGAAAACGTCAAATGATTTATCTAGAGCATATTTAGACGTTGATTACAAAGTATCTACATTAGATCGAAATTCTGCAGCCCATTCATATCGTAATAGTATTGACTTTAGTCACAATTCAGACTCAAGAATCTCTGGAACATTACCACCTGTAGGCAAATCAGCTAATGACGTAATGGGAAGTCGAGGTAACCTTAATGCAAATGATACGTCACATATAAAGTCGAAAACATCTATTTTTGGTTCTCGAAAATCTGCTACCTTAAGTAATAGTAAAATTGAACAACGTTTTAACGAAGGCAGAAGTCAGACAGATGCAGGCGATTTACACCATGGAAGCTATTCTGTATTGGATGACGAAGATCACATAGGATCTCAACTTTCTGCTACAACATCAACACCTAACTTGCAGGACAAACATAAGAAAAAGCGATTCAGTTTACTTGGAAAGAGCAGAAAATCAACAGGCTCCGAGTCAGATGTACGTAATGACTCTAAGAAATCCAAAGGATCTACGCCAGACATAAGGTTGAAAGATGGCGAAGGCGAGAAAAAGAAGAAGGGTTTACATTTAAAAAATCCTTTTAAACGTTCGAAAACTAAAGGTACAGTCAATATGCCCTTAGCTAGATTAGTCAAATAAAATTACTGTGGATGAAGGGAATTTCACAGTGTAAATACGTACTAATGACTATTATCTCATCATTATCACTCAATCCTACTTCTTTAACTAACCCATAATATTTAACAACTAAATAAGTAAATTTTGCATTCGATGAAACAACAAAAACATTTGTAAATGTCATTAGAATGACAATTAGCAGGAAAATGTTATGTCAACTGTCCGAACCATTACAATCAAGTTGGCCTACTTCACATCAAGATTAGACTAATAAAAAGAATAAATTATGACTATAAATATCTGAGAACATCGCTGTGTTATCTGATTGGAGTAATATTTAGCAGCCAATGTGTGTAACTAGTTTTCTGGATATTTCCAATGTCGAAGTATTTCTCAAATAAGGTTTTTATTTCTCCGTTCATGAAGCAGTTCGTATAGCAGCTGATATAAGATCTTTTTTTAAACTGGTTTTAAATAAAACGTACCTACGTTTGTTGTGAAAAGATCCAAGTATTATTTGTCTTCAGTGGAACCACGGTTTTGTTTTATTGGTCTCTTTAAAGTATTTTAAAGTTCGAAGAAAATACGTTATTAGCTTTCGTTTTCGTCCACAGAACAGTTTGGTTGAAAACATTAGTTTTAATTTGGCTCTTCACAATGAAATCATTTATAGGTTATACAGTTTAGTCGATCTCAGAAGTCGTAATATTATCCGTTCATCGAGACTTGAATTTAGTCATTTCAGTGGTTTCATATGCCATAAAAATCCAATTCCTTTTTATAATAAACACCATGATTGTTGTACACATCATTCTTAATGGTATAAACATTTTTATCTATAAAATCCAGTTATTATCCATAATAGTGTCTGACCAATTGATTTTCAGGGGTTACTGGGAATTGACTAAATATTCCTGATTCATCACGGTGTCAAATCTAAAATTTTGTACACTCCTTAATGTAAATGTACTAAGTATACGGTTTATAAATACATATTTCCAGTACGAAAACATTATTGGTAGCTTCCTCAACTGAGAATAATCTAGGTCAGATAAATGAATTGAATCTAAGTTTTGAAATTTTGTACCTTTGAATTAAAATACTAAATTTTCTCAAATCCTTTAGCTTGATAATAATAATATCCCTAATATTGGCTAACCCCGAGGAGGATTACTAAAGTTCTAATGAGAGGCTGTGATTAATAGGGTTTAACTATAACGACTGAATGACAGCATGAAGATAGAACCATTTATGTAGTGATTTATGTCGAAAATGTAGACCACTAAATTGTGACTTGGTAATATGAATATGAAATTAAATTAAGCGATCTAATAGAAGAAATATAATTACCAATGGCTTTTTGATGATAGCCGAAAAGAGGCGAATCGAAAGAAATATTCTAGGGTGTGTAAAAATCACAGATTTAAAGATGCTTATCTAATTAAATTTATGAGAAGTTACTCAACCATAGAATAGAAAATATTATTGTAATACAGCTTAATCAAATATAAGAAATTACATGACGAAGATGTGCTGACCACCTATTCATTTTCAATATTTACGAATAATTAAACAGGCTTTTCACTCACAACTAAATCTTTTCTCAGATTTTACGTCTGGTATTTACAACAGAATAAGTATGTACAAAACAATATTTTGATATAGGTTTGTTCTCCGAGCTGGATGGTTTGATCGTGGAGCTTTCATCGTCCTTCTGAACGACATCGTCAGCACAAATTTCGGGTAGAAGTGAAGTGTTTGAATTTCATCACATGTGATTCACAGCTTGTCCTGTGCACCTCGATGTTGAATGGTTCTAATTTGACCTTAAATCTGTCATTGTTTATTTCTTTGTTTTGGTTGTATCTCCTATTGGTTTGATTTTTGTTCCTATGTTTCTGAATAATTTTCTTGATTGGTTGATAAATTGGATTGATTTCAATGTGCTTGTTCATTGCTGATTGACCTGAGTGCCAAGCTTCTAAAAATTCTCTGGTGTTTTTGGAATTGCCTCTGTCCGAAATCTCCACATTTTTCCAGTAGAATGTATGTCCGTAGTTGCCTAAGTGTATTGATATGAGTGAAGAAATGTCGTGACGTTTGACTGCTAATTGATGTTCATGCAGGCGAAGATGAAGGGGGCGTCCCATTTGTCCGATGTAGCGTTCATCGCAGTTGGCACAATTTATTTTGTAGATGATGTTTGTTTTGTCTTCTTTTGTCATTTCATCCTTTGGTTTGCATAAGATTGAGTGGAGGGATTTTGTTGGTTTGTGGGCAACACCTATTCCGAAGGTTTTCAGCCGCCTCGTTGTCGTTTCCGATATGCCTTTTATGTATGGTAGGGTGATCCTTTCGTTGATTTCTATACCTGATTTCGTTTCTAATGATGTGTGCGAATGGTATTTTTTGATGAAATTGATTGGATAGCCGTTCTTTTGAAGGATGGTTTTCAGGTGTTTTTCTTTATTTTTTCGTGCTGTAATTGTGTTGCAGTGTGTCCTCGCCCTCTTGAACAAAGTTTGTACACAGCTGATTTTGTGAGTTCCTGTGTTGTTGCTATTGTAGTTGGGAATTTGATCGGTGTGGGTCGACTTACTGTACACTTGAGTCTCCAGTTTTCCTGTGTCGGTTCTGGTGATTAATATATCCAAGAATAATAGCTTGTTGTTCGACTCTTGTTCCATGGTGAACTTAATGTCGCTGAAGACGTTGTTGATCTGCCTGTAGGTGTTTTCTAGTTCATCCTTTTTGACGATGACGAATGTGTCGTCTACATAACGAATCCAAATTTTTGGTTTGATCACTGGTAGAATCGTGGTTTCTAGTCTTTGCATTACTGCTTCTGCGATAAGTCCTGATATTGTGATCCCATTGGCGTCCCTGTTGTTCGTCCATATATTTTGTTGTTCAATTGGTAATATGTTTTTAGACATAAATCTATCAGTTCAAGTAGGCTTTGACTTTGACGCTTCGTGTATTTTGCGAGATTTTCGTCGTTGGTTAGAAGCAAGGGCAGAGTCTCTTTTGCTAAGTTTGGTTCAATTGAAGTGAATAGAGCCGTTATGTCAAAGGATATCATTAGTTCGTCGTCGTTGATTTGAATGTTCTTAATCTGATCAAGGAATTGTGTGGCCATCACAAAACAACATATTTTTATCAGAAGGGTTTTTGTGGATATTATAATAATTTTAATAGTTAAGATCATGAATCAATTGAAGTTAGACCACTATGGAAAACCTGGAAGCACTGGACGGCCGTTTTGTTCCATTGTGAGACTCCTCAGCGGTGCACAGAATCGTGGATGCGTACTGCTGAGGAATCCCACAATAGGACGAAACGGCCGTCCAGTGCTTCCAGGTTTTTCAATATATTTCTGTTATATTCCAGTATGTAGAAAAATTGTATTTCTAAAGTTTCGTGACTTAATATAAGCCACTTCTTCAGAGTAAATATTTTGCATTGTTTCCTTTGTATTATTTAAGCTGATGTTAATTTAATGTCTGTTATTTCTTTACTCTGAAGAAGTGGCTTACACTAAGTCACGATACGTCAGATATACAATTTTTCTACTTATTGAGATATAACAAAAATATATTTATTATTAATTCTCTATCTATTGCCTAATTTACTTGAAACTATCAAGTCCAACCTCGGTATAGATACCTGTGTATCAAACAATCTGATTATGAATAAATGATTTTTAAAAAAATCTTGAATTAACTGGTCTTAACAACATTCACATCAATTATATTCAATTGTTCATTCAGAACTTGTCTTTGTAAAAGTCAAATTGATTTTTTATAGCAATTATGTTTAAGTTTTTTTAGATCTAAACAACCACTGGAGAATAGATGGTACATTTGGTAAGAACACTATAGGTTCCTTTCTTTGAACTTTTTAATTTTAAATCAATATTAAATTTGTAAAGACGTAGATTATTTAAGTCTACTTATTGAGAAATAAAGTATGATGGCTATTGAAATTTTGTTCTGAAATTTTTGTTCTGTATAATTCATTTTTGTCAATTAACTTTTTTCATATGTTTTACGTTTTCAGACCAAACACCTACGATAGCATCAGATATTGCTATTGCTAAGAGCACTAAAAATCCGGTAATTAATGTAGCTGTCACTGAACGATTACCAAAAGAGATGTCTAAAAAACCAGCACCTGAAATTGCAGCTTATCTTCATAAATCCAATCCATCAACTGAATTTGATGCACTTAATTTAACTGGTCGTGAAACACTGTCTGAAGATACTCATTTTCCACCTTTTGACAGAAAATATTATGATGGATATGAAAATATTGGTAGTCCTTATGATACATTTAAACGCAAGACTTTGGATGACTCAAGAAAATCTATCGAGATTTCATCATTAAGTGATTTGCACTCACATGGTAAACTTAAAGGACCAGCTCCAGAATTAGCAGCTTTAATTCACTCGAAACATCCTACTTCAAATCTAGAAGATATAACCATTGCTCAGGGTTCAGACTCACATATAAGACCATTCACACCAGCTGATCAATCACCTAGGCCACAAAGCTATACTAGAGAACCTTCCTCTGACATTGCAAATTTAAAATTAAAAGGTACAGCTCCTGAAATAGCGGCGATAATACACTCAAGAACTAAAAGTCCTAACCATGAAGATATAACGCTTACTCAGAGCTGTGATCCAAGCTTTGGTCCGTATTCTACAGTGGATACGTCAGGAAAAAAACCCTTAAAGCCAAGTGGAAGTGCATCAGAGATAGCTGCGGATATACACAAAAACAATTTAGCAGACCATCTACCCTATGCAGATTACACCTTAACTGGTACTAATGACAATGACATACAAGGAATAAAGCATGAACTAAAAGAAAAAGTGCAATCTTCACGTAAATCTCGTTCTTTAAGTGAATATATATCAGACGGTGATGAAACAGAGAGTGCAGGCAGTGACGTGTATACTGACAATGAATGCTACTTAGAAGTAGGTAAAAGTCAATACTATTTTGATCGTAAACGTTCTCTGAAAAATTATCGTTCCAAACGATCAACAAAATTGGAACGTGAAGCTAGACGTAATATGGGGTTATATAAAACTGGGAGTCAAGACTCAGTAAGCAGCAGTATTTCATCGCTTAAACCAACTGATCGGAAAATGACCCCGAAATATAGAAAACGTCCAAGTGCTAAAAAGGAAGAAGTTTCATCTTGGTTGAACAGCTCTAATTCACGTAAGGAGAATTCTTTTCACTATCTATTTACTCTGAAGTTCACCTTACATTGTAATATTTGTGAAATATTTTCATTAAGAAATTTACCTGTACCCGATGATCTTTGGTGCTTTTTCTAAGGATCAAATCTAACCTTACAAGTTATTCAGTATCAAATCACTGTCCACAAGTTCACCGACTGTAAGGTTGAAATTTTCACTATTTAAAATGAAAATTACAAATTGCATGTTGAAATAATAACTGTAGAAGCTGTAGATTCATGCAAATATTTTTTGTACCGTCATAAAATAATTAATATTTAGTAAAAAGGTACTTCTGTTCAGTTTTTGCTTCGTTAGAGAAATTATGGATTCTATAAAGCAGTCGAAAACCGATTATATTAAGAGTAATTATCCTTTCCGATTATACGCTTTGATTATTCGAATCATCCGTATGAATAAACATGCATTTCTTTCAAAACTTACAGGTATTAAAAACTAAAGTACCCCATGGTTTACTTACCGCATTTTAGGTTCCATAGACAAGATTTATAAATCGACTTATGTCGTACGTTAGGATAGAAGTAGTCGTATAGTTCATGTTGAATATATTAAATACTTATGTACTCAATGTTTTCGTCATTTCAACTTTACCATTATGTCAGGACTAAGCTATATCATTGTTTTTGAAGCAATTGAATATAAATGTTTGTAAACCTACATCTTTTGTGACAGCTACATTGGAGACAATAATTATCATGTTCATTGCCTTAAATAACCCAGTTGTTGAACACATTATTCATCACTAAGTACTTTGAAGGTCTTCTTCAAAGTGGTATATGAATATATTACAGAATAATTATGTACTTTAAGGACGTAAAAATATAAAAAGACAATTATAAGTAATTTATATGTAGTTGATGCTTACCAACTATACATCTAATAGTCTTCACAATAAAATGAAATGAAATCTCACTAATCTTAGTATATCTACACAAGTATATACTTCACTAATTTTCTTTACTTTTCTTTTAGCTTATAATCCAATCCGTGTAGATGGGAATATATATCCAAGTTATACATCAAATGTTTATGCTGCAGCTCCTATAATTCAAAAATCTTTAATTCAAAACTATTTATTAAAAGATATTAGTCAGGTTAGTTTATTAAAATAATTTAACAACAATTATAAACATTTAAAATGATCGGTTACAGTTACTTGAATACATTATTTAAAAATATTTATAAGAATTATCAGAATGGGGTTTGGTGGAGATTTCAGTAATTTTATATAGTTGAAATCATGAGTCAATTGAAGCTAGACCACCATGGAAAACCTGGAAGCACTGGACGACCGTTTCTTTCTATTGTGGGACTCCTAAGCATTGTAAGTCCACGATCCCGCCTCGTGAGATTCAAACCAAGGACCTATCATACGAGCGCTTAACCTCTAGACCACTGTCTAACTTCAACCAATCCACAAAATTGAGCAACCATTGACCAATGTCTTCAGTGAGTTGATATCGCGCAACAGACATTAATACCATTGGATGCCAGCTCGGTGGTCTAGAGGTTGAGCGCTCGCGCATGAGACTGATAGGTCGTGGGTTTGAATCTCGCGAGGCGGGATCGTGGACGTACAATGCTGAGGAGTCCCACAATAGGACGAAACGGTCGTCCAGTGCTTCCAGGTTTTCCATGGTCGTCTAGCTTCAATTGACTCATGATTTCAACTATATAAAATCTATAAGAATTCACTGAAGAATGTATTACAAGAATAGTCCTAATAAGATTATCTAACATGTATAATAATTAATGAATTCAGCCTTAAGTGAAATACTGTTTTTTTTAAAAATTAGTCTACATAGTGTCCTGGTGTGTTGCAGTTTCTCTTTAGATCTTTATTAATCTAGATCATATCTCTCTATTAAAATGTTTTTTTCCTAATATTTAGCAAGTTGGTTATAACTTTTTAATTAAATTTCATCCAATTTGAGGTGTTTATTTGACTTAGATAGAATGACCCTTTTTTATATTAACTACTTAATTATACTATAATCGTAGGTCAATTTAAACGTCATATCTTACTTTTTATATATCTCTAATCACAATTAAAACAATTATCGGACCTTCATTTTGTCCAATCATCTTGTGTGTATATTATTATTTATTAAGTAATTTTGTATTATATTGAGAGACTAGCACTAACAATTCAGCTAACATGAATTTAGAAGGATATCCGTTTTCAAACATAAATCTAATCGAATAATGTTCCAATATAATAACGTTTGTATCATTAGATAGAATTATATCGTACCATTTATAATCGTTTTTTCGTGCTCACATTTTGGTTGGTTACACGATACAAATGGTATTGAGGCAGAAGTGTTCTTTTATAAATATGACATAATTCAATTGACTTATGATGTTAATTCATGTTGATGAAATGTTGATTTGTAAATGATATTGGCAAAGAAATAGTTCTCTGTGAATCTATGATAACCATTGCAACACTACAGTAATTTCAACGGGAAAGTAACAAATATTTACATTTTTGAAGTGATTTGCTCTAGTGTATGATAAAAAGGCTTATTATTTCACCTTTCTGATTATAATCATACTTTTGTTTTGACTCATTGTTTTATTGAAGTCAATAATATGTGATACCACCATGGATTTGCCATATCCTCTAACAATTGGACGAAGTGCACTAGTTTATGGTCATTTCAAGTACAATTCAGCTGTACGTCAATCCTGTTTCATAAGACTTGAGTTTAAGACCTCCTATGAAGAACCTAATGAATGTGAAACACTTTATCTTCAATTGTGGTCTGATGGTGGTCTGAATGTTTTGAAGAGCCAATGCATGAATAGCGAAATTCCATACAGTACTTCAAATGATATTCAACATTTAACACTTAAAGATAATGAAGTTTGCAATAATGATAAACAACAAGTGAATTTCACTCTGAAATTTATATCTCAAAGCTTCTATACTGCTGTGAGTTTCAGTTTATTTATATATTCTTTATCAGTTTTGCATTTTTGATAAGCTATTTGTCGTATGACGTTCTGTTTTTTTCAATGGCTATGAAAAAGCATCTACTGATAACTTATTGCTAAATTTATAATTATAAGTTAATTATTCATTGAATATCATTTTCTAATTTACCTAGTTCATTTACGTAAGCAGAATGAAATCTAGTTAGCGATATTATTTTCTTTATTATATATATATACGTGTAATAATAGCGAGTAACATGTTTATTCATGAAACTAGCGCAGGTATATGTCTTTTATTAAGGCATTAGGGGGAAAAGATAACCACGTGGAATAAAAAAGCTCGGTAACATAAAAAATGTGATATTATTTAATGAAAATGTAGACACGTTGAGTTGATATATATTTTTAATGTTACGTGAACTGGTTATTGAAGCTAAATGTGAATAGATATTAGACAACTGATGTAAGGGTGTAAATCTAGCTAGAAAAAGCTTGATTATTTCTAAAAATAGAACTAGTTAGGGAAATAAATATAACTTTTACATTTATTTACTGCTGTTCTGAATCAGGTTATATTAGTAGAAGTTGAAGGAGCATTACCATTGACTGCTGGGCGCGGTGAAATAAAAGACAAAACTTGCATATTCGTTCTAACACCATTATCTTGCTGTCGATTGTCAAGGATATCCGGTTTCAGTTTGTACATGGAGACGGTCAAATTGTTACCGCTTCCATAAATAATGAGGTATTTTTCTTCACGTTCTATCACTTGGTGAAGATATTCTTACAGTTATGCTAGTGCTGAGTAAAAATAGATTTGTATGCGATTAAGTGTCGGATAATCTATTCTCTATGAGCATATGTGCATGGGGAGCTGACTTCGATTGTTTCCTTGTTTGAAGTGAACGTTTAGAAAATCCTGTTGAGTCGCCATTCATTTTCTCATTCCCGTTAATTAGTTGTCTAGGTCAAACTACAGTTGTGCCTTACATTAATTCAGCTGTCGAAAACCAGATGTTTTCGCTAATACTAAATCAGATTCTTAGAAGAACAATTCGCAGTACATCACTGAATTTTATTGTATTTGCCTGTGGTATAACAGGGATTTTTAATTGGCAATGGAATCTTTTCACTATACCGTTTAATGATAAACTGTTTTAGTGATATAGTGTACTCCTAGGAGTCAGCTTAAATCACGGAATAAAGCTAATTGGAACTATTAACTACACTTCGTAGTTATCGTAAATAGAACATTGAATTAAGAAATTGAACAATCACAAAATACATAAGCGATTGTCTCGGCCAAGATATCGTTAGAGTGGAGTACTATTGCCTGTCTATTGAATCACTCTATAGCTGTACATATATCTGTAGACGGCTATACTATAATGATAAATTTGTGAGACACTGAGAGTGACTGAAAACTATGTGACTTCTTTTAATCAGTAAGTTAACAGATGGGATTTCAATGTCTTTAGTGATTTTACTTAACTTATGAATTCGTAATCAGTTTCCAAGCTTTTAATTTTTGTCACTATGTAACAACACAAATTACGTTTCCTTATAAATTCCAAACCACGTAATCTCTAAATATAACTATCAACTACAAAGTTATGAATAACTAACACCTACTATCTTTTGAATTGTGAGTAATAAATCAATAGTTCATATATGGATACTGATAAGTTGAGCAGTGTCATATATTGTTACTTGTTAATCAATTACAATATTCAATTGGTTCAGTGGCTCAGATACGTTTTAACCTTCATGTGTGTTTTAACAAAAATAGTAAAAATATTTTTTTTAATAATCGTTTTTTTTAGATTTATAGATGACGTCAAAATATGTTTTTTATTAATTCAGTAGTTTAATTCAATCTTTTATTAGAATCAAACTGTTTAATGGTTGGTCAACTAGAAAATATAAATGGCTAATATCAAATCGATATATATGAGATGCAATTTTGCAAAAAAAAACATTTTGGCTGCCAACTATGTGACCCAGAGAAAAATGTAATCTTGTATATATAATGAAAAACTATAAATTTTACTCATCCGATTGAATACATTTCGTAGAAGATAAATATAGACTCAACTTACATAGTTTCTTTTTCAATTGGCAAGTTGTTATGGAATAACTACTGGTGATTCTATAGAATCATCATTTTGATAATGCAACGAGAAGACGACGTTTATCAGAATTATGTGATATTATTAGCGCAATACATTTCGAACAATCTGATCACACATAATTCTGATAAACGTCGTCTTCTCATTGCATTATCGAAATTTATTAAAGAGATTGATTGTTTTAGAATCATCATTGTCTACACTACACATTTCTTATATTGAATTAGTTAGATTGAAATGTTAGTTATTCTGAATCATTTCTTAATATATTACTGAAAAAGTTTGTAAGAATATGATTCATTTGCAATGTATGGTATTATTTATTTGATTTTTTGTCTAGATTACTTCAAATGATCAGTTTACTTTAATATTGAAAAACCAATTCCCGAAATCTACTAATTATCATTTGACATCATTGAAACTTGAAGATTCAACAAACGCCGAGTTGGATAAACTTTTTATGCCAAGGAATTTAGTAAGTTTTCAGTAAAAATATTATACTGTACAACTTGTTAGCTTATTTGATCATTTAACTATATAAAGTCAGTAGTCAGAAGTGAGTTGACTTTTATAGAAGTACAGGTAAACTTTTCATGACTAAAACTCTCGCTTTTATGGATATTTGACAAAATGTTTCATTGTCATACCAATCAGTGTTTTTTGATTTGTATCCAGGCGTAGAACTTAAATAAAGCATCACTTGTCATTCGGTAGCCATTTCATATAAATGTCCTTCATTCGTTTGTTTAGTTACCGAATTCAGTCTTTATTCAAGGTAAAGAGCTCAAAGAACAGACTTTGATATGTACTTTTTAGACAATGTACAACAAATCTCAAGAAGATAAAATCTTTATTACTATCGTGTATTTTTGTTTTACTAAACTATTACAGCTATCTACATGAATCAATAAAGGCGCGTACATTTTCCTAACATTTCTAAAGTTGGTATTTTCATGATTAACCATCAATATGTATGAACTTGCAATAGTGAATATTGGTCAAAGATAAATTTTGAATAGGAAAGGATTACCTTTCTGGAATACAGTTGCATCGTGACTCTTGTTCATCTTCACAAAAAACGTCTTAAATGAATGGTTTTCTAATAATGAAATTTGTGGTACCAACAACTTAAAAGAGCTACGATCCCATATCATTGTCTCGCCAATCATGGAAAGAAATTGAATCAGCAAACGTATAAGACTGACAAAACTATGTGGACATTATGACTATGATTGTGTGGTTCAAAACTTACACTACCAAAATGTTATTTTACGTTAATTCAGAAATTAGGAAACTACTTCGTTTTACATAAATAGCATATTATGACACTATAATATAAATAGTTGTTCTGAACTTATATTTTTTTGAAACATAAGTGGAATTAATCTTCCCTGATGAAGAATGTTGTGTGAAGTGAGATATGTTCACTCATTTTGTACCACTGCTACAACTGTTGAATTTTTTTAAGGTGTTATTATGTAATGTGGAAATCAACTGTAAGAGACAGGCGCACCCACCTAACGAGTCCCAAAAAGAACGAAAAGAGAGTCGTCAATTCACACGCTAACTACAATCAAATTATCCTAAAACTTGCAAGACAAACCCATTTGAAGGAAATTTGATTAGGATGTACTTGTTTGAGGGAAGATTGAGCGAAAATCGGTCCTGAAGTCCAACGACAATATAGATCAAACACTTACAATAAACATGTAATGGGTATTTATTCTCAGAGTTTAAATCATGAACTGATATTGGCTAAGCCACCATTGGAAACCTTAGAGTAGTGTACTACTGTTTTGCCATAGTTCAATGTCCCTCAGAAGTGAATATCTATGATCCTGCATGTGGGAATTGGGCTCAAGAGTGAACGCATTACCTCCAAACAACTGGGACGACATTCCGTATTGGATATCTAAAATATTGCGTGACCATCTTCGATTGCCTATGGTGAATAACTGTCTCACACTCAATGTTTACCTATAGCTTATGGGTATATTGAAACAAATTTCTGGATTTAACTAAGTGTTTATAGTCTCATTCATTAAGACACCCTCATCAAGTGAGCATAATTCATTCAGTACAACTCATAAAACGTATGTATGAATAGTACAAGTATAGCTGTAACATGAATTTTTTGAGGGCTTTCATCATAGAAAATAGTAGTAATATAACGGCTATTGGAAAACTGTTTAGTTGGTTTTTAAGAAATCACAGTAGTACGCATAAATCCACTCTGTGATGTTGTATCAGATCTCTGAGTTTGTGACAAGCTCTGACTTGTAGAATGGTCCATCTACATTCCATTGGTTGATATTCATATCTAATAGACTATATGTTTGTATGAATTATTCTTTCATATCTTAATAAATAGTCAATAGTGTAATTTCAAAACTAATTTCAAAAAAGTTTTGTGTTTATTGATCGAACAACCAAGGTGGTAAGAAACAATTACGTAAAGATGGGTGACATATTCATTTGTTATATCTACATATATATTCTGTGTAATAGATTGACTGATTAGGCAGTTTATTTTTCATAATTCACGCAAAAATGTAATAAACTATGAAAATACTAACTTCTCCACAAAACCCCTTCTGATCTATAATCATATGCTCACTAGTGACTGACTTCAAGAGAAATTTCCTTGAGTTCTAGTGGGAAGCAGTGAACAGTGGAGTTCTACCAAGTCTGTTGTAGAGATACCAACTCACTGAAGGCAATTAGTGAACGGTTGCTCAAAATCATGGATTGGTTGTAGATTGATTTCAGTAAAATCATTCAACTTTATTAATGTCTTTGACATTGAAGAGAATATGTTAAATGAACCGATCCAGAATTGATTTGGATAAACGGAAAAATATGAAAGATCATTAAAGTACAGATCACTTTTTAACATTAAATCCTCATGATAAATTATTTACATAGTTTATCTTTTATAAATTTCATCAATTCTAATACCCCTAGATATAGTTTTACTAATTTTTTTCAAGGTCAATGCTAACCAATTTACATAAAAAGTATTATGTGTTTTTAATTTTGTGTGCATTGATTGAATACACCTTTCCAAATTCATTGTTCACCATTAAATATGAATGCATAAATTAGCAAGAATTAGTTCATTTAACCAAATAGTAGTATTTATTCAAGTGTGAAACTATTGATATCTATTACTATTTAAGAAATAACAGTGCATAATGTCTTTTCAAAGATTTCTGATTAAGAAGAAAATACTTACTACTGAATGAATTTAAGTAGATTTTCACTATTCAGCTATGACGTGTAGTTAAATAATTAGTGACAAATGTCATGAATGTTAATGAATGGTAGAATTGTTTAATATATAAATAGAATACATCTGCAACTATATATCCTTTGGAATATTTACAATTTAACAATATGAGTTCATTATATTCTTTGAATTTATTGTTTTTAAACTGTTCAAATGGTAAGAATATTGATGAAACAAGTCAAATTCTTTAAAATAAGTTTATTTAAATTACGCGGTCCTTAGCAAGTTATATGTAGACTCATCATCTATCCATAATAAACTTGAGTTGATCTATTCTAACATGGATAAACTGGTCCAAAGGAAAGCATGGTTATAAGTTAACTTATACGTTAGCTACTGACATGCCAATTGACTATAATTACGAATGTCATATCGGCATTATAAAACGTTTTAGATCACAGTTGAACCCATTAGCAAAGCAGTTTTCCATCACATATTGATGTATTTAAATAAAATCATACTAAACTTCATTTCCGCTAGGAATGAATATTGATTAGAATAAAAATTAAAATATGGTTATGATACACTTCCTACAAGCCACTTACAAACTCATTTTAAGTTCAGTGTCACAGGCGTTTTTTGTTAAGATACTTTTTATCAATATTTCATTTCTTTATTTATTCCCATATAGTGTTTACCACTTACTCTTCATATGAAAGATGAGTTCAGTCAAGCAAACACACTAAATCTTTTGACAAAACTAACTGCTGATACCAAAAGGTAAGTCTGTTAGATATTTTAAAGTGTTTATAATTATAGTTAAATATTAGTTTCTGATTGTAAGAAAATGTTTAGTCATGTATATCTATATGCAAACTATTGGCGTTTACATTATCAAGTGCATTGTTAATAACTTAATGTAGCACAAAAAGATAAGAGAAGAGTGATAATAGATGAACCTGGTTTTAATCACATTGAACAATTCAGTGCTTTAATTGCGGTAATGGGAAAATGGACATTTGAGCTAGCAGTTGATATTTTATTATAAGTGATAGTATATTTTCAGCTAATTACCAATGAAGTTGATTAGATTATGAATATATTTATAGTATTTCATTTCAATCAAAGTATAAGAGAAATAGTTATTGGTTATCAATCACTCATATGGGTATTAAATATACTTCAATTAGTATTGTTTGTTTGAAACTTCCCATTGATGTTTAGGACTGCAACTGGTCAGTCTCTAATTGGCATATGTGCATGCTGTGTGTATTGTCTTGATATAGCCTTAATTCACAAGCAGTGTAAGCAAAGATGGATAGTGGCTAGCAATGGGAAGATTCAAACAAACAATACTAAGTGAATTTAAACTTCACCCTATTGCATAAGCTCGTGGTTATCAAGACTCAGTAGCTGAGTGGATAACGTGATGGCGTTTGAAGCGAAAGGCACTGTGTTCGAGTCCCAGAGTGAACATCAACTCTGAAACGCAGGTACATTCAGCTGACGATTCACAAATAGGACGAAACGCACGTCCTGGATTCCACTGATAGCCACTATCAAATAAGCCACTATAAATATACTTGTTTAACTTCTAAAATAAATTTATTTAAGGTGTTTATAGTTTAAACATTTTACTAGGCCTAATTGTTAATAAGTATCTGCAATACATGACGTTTTAACGATTGAGATTTTCCATTTCTAGTTATTTTTAGAAATTTATGTTTTACAATATGAAAAAAATGCCTAACTTCTGTTTGAATGACATTTTAGAAAAGCAAACTAGGGTATGAATAAATTCATTATAATCAGATATATCTGTTTTATAGACATGGTTATAAGATGTATAAGATGGTTTAGGCACGACAATAGTCATTGTAAAAATTGTAATTATTCAAAATGATAAAACTAACATTATCAATACACTAAATGAGTTGGTGGAGATTTGTAGCTCAGGTGGATGATTTTGATGGAGTTTGTGCTGATGATGTCGTTCAGAAGGACGATGAAAGCTCCACGACCAAACCATCCAGCTTAGAGAACAAAACTTCATCAAAACACTAAATGAGTGATGTATATTTATTGTTTAGAAATTTTGCTTTTACCATAAGTTAATATGTTGATGAACCTTAATTCTCATCGAGACTATCTACTTTTTCATGACTCACTAACAGGTGCATAAGCACTAGTTTTTCCAACGAGGCTTTTTGATATTGACCCAGTGTTATCTATCTAAAAAATATTGTCGTTTATATATCAAAAACAAAGGCTTGAAAACTGTATACCGGAATGCTCTGTATGTCAAAAGTGAGATTGGTTTACCACAAAAAAATACAATACACAGAAAACTTAATAGGAATAACGGATGTGAGAAACCATAATTACATAACTGACGGATAAAGAAATTTCTTAAAATCACCAAAAAACCATGACAAGACCGCGGTAATGAAATTAGTGAAATGCTGCTTCTTTGAAGTTGATAGTTTTCATTCATCTAAAAGCAGACTCTGGATTGGACGATGAGAATTACATCTTTGATTAGTCTGAGGGTAGGAGAAACAAGACTATACAAAACTACGATTTCACGCATGAAAGAATTAAATTTTCAGGGACATTCCGTTGCTTAATAACAAACGTTTAGAATATTTAAACTGAGATTTTTGCCATAAACGTGAAATATAGTTAAATTGTACTGAAATTTCTTGAATAGTGTTAATGCTGAATAATTTAATGTAATGTAATTTCAATCTAATGGATATTGATTCGATTCTCATAAGTTTCAATCTCAGATCGCATATCCTAAACAGCATTTTGACCTTCTTATGGTTAGTGAGAAATCCGTTATCTTACTATTACATCCTATTTATTACTCGTCATAATAAGTTATGGAATGTATTTCATCATTATCTCAGATTTGAAATTTCCTTGATTAGTGTCATATTTTTTATTCATGAATATTAATATCATTGTATATTAGAGTAGTAGGTTTGATGAAAATCTCAGTAGCAGCAATCTCGTTCTCCTATTTGCTCTGTTCTAACTTGCCTCATAATTTTTTGCAATCTAAACTTTTCTTTGGAAATTCCACTTAATGTTCAACAAGCAGTTTTATTTGGTTTACGTTCATTGCTGGTCATCTTCACAACTTTAAGACTGTATTTTAGAGAAACAAGAGTTGCTTAATTTTTAGTGGATGATGAGCTATCTTTTCTCAATCCTCAATAATTCGAAGTATTACTGAATTAACGAACATTTGGGAAATAAAAAAGTGCTAAATGAAAGATTATATTTCATTTCGAAACATATATATATATATATATATATATAGACATTACCGTGGCAACATTAGAAGTATTGTTTGCTGCTCACAAAATGTCTAGCTTTAACATCATCCTCCGATCCAAGATTCAGTTTCTCTTATCTGATGTTCAGTGATGCTGACTAGTGAATAAAATTATTTTAAGTTGATTTTATTCATATCGCAATAAATCAATCTACGTAACCCAGTGATTACTTAATCTGTCATTTCATTTGACTGTTATTAACATATTGCTAATTGATGATTATTTTGTCTTCATTTATTTATGTCAAATGGAATAACTTTTTACGGTGTGAGTATACTTTTGTGTATATCTGTCTTGGCATGTGATAAAAGTAGCTTTTGTTCAACTGTTCACATGTGCATGTATCCATAGTAAAGTGATGATATTTATGCCAATATCAGTGCATTGTAACACAACCGCCATTACTCAAGTGATAGATTACAGAAATTTATCATTTTACTTTACGCATATACGAATAACTTAAATAATATTAATTTGATCATGTTTATTCTGAATAGAAATATTCTTATATTTACTGAGTAAATAGAAAAACAGAATACTTTAACTAAAATCATATAAGATACAGTTTATGAATAAGTAACTACCTTCATTAGTAAACATTCTAAAATGAACTTCAGTGTATTTATAAAGTGAGTAAGATTTCTAAAGCTTATTTCGTGTGTACATTAAACTACATAAACATTTTCAGATCATTCCATTGTTTAAGGTCGTTAAATATTTAATTTGGAATGGAAACGCAAAAAAATTCCTATACTAACTAATAAGGAAGTGATGTTGATACATTACCATCGACTTGCATGTTTATTCGAGAAAATAAAGTACACTGAAGGTAGAATTCAAGTTTAACTAGCGCTTAAGCATCAATGCTCCGAATCTTGCTGCTAACAAGATCTTATTTCAACTGTGCTAATTCCAGATGTAAATTAAACCTTATCAAAGAGAATAAAATAATGATATGAGCGAAATGCCTTATAACTATAGGGTTTTTCTCTATTTAAGACAGAATGTATATAATTAGCCTAACCATACCTCATTATTACCACCTCCATTTTTTGATTTATTCTTCACCTTTCTTATAATCAATACATAAACTATTACCCTTCACATGTTTCGTTTCATTTTATGATTTTTCTTTAACTTCTCAGTTTATATGCAGCCTTCTTTTGACATTTGAAATTGTATAATCTTCACTTTTGATGTTTAGTATGTTCAACTCTAATATGGTACGTCTCTGACAGATGCAGAAAATAATACAAGTATATTTTTCACTTTAAAACTATAGTCTATATTTGCAGTACTAAAGACACGTAAATTAAACTTTCAAGTAACTGCAGCTCATGAAGCATAACTTTCCAAACTCTTCAAACTTATAAAATTAACATCGGCTTTACCTTGCTTTCTAGTGGGCTTCTCTATTAAAGGTTCAAAACCTGACTTTTGTATACAGAACTCAATTTTACACTAAAAGCATCAGGATAAAGAGAGATATCTTTCAGATGTTCGTTGTATTAGAACTAAAACTTTCAGTTATTTAACCATTTATGTGTAAGCAATTGTCAATACCAAAGTTTGACCATATTTTCAAACGAACTGAGCATTGGGTAGACTGTTACTAACACACATAATGTATTCTTAATATTACAATGAGTTGAAAAAGTAAAATTTGTGATGTTTTATGACTCAGTGTCAGAAATCCTTTCGAAAATAAACCCAAGTTTAAATAGTGCAAAGGGAAAAAACGAAAATATGTAGTTACCAGTAAAAGGTTGTTTCAATTGTTTCGTTTTAGTTGAGATCAAAAATGGATCAATGTTAGAACGCCATTGAAAACCTGAAAGCACTGGACGACAGTTTCGTCCCAGTATAGGACTCCTCAACAGGGCGCATCCAATGTAGTACAATCAATAAAAAAGCAGGTCCGATTTATTTAGTGTGGCAAAACTGACTTACATGAGACATATTTGTGTATTTGTGTGCATTAATGAGGAAGAAGTGTGACATTTGTAATATGAAAAGATAGAGTATGAATTCATGTAAATCCAAATTTTGATAGCGTATTAACTTATTTAATCAAATGCTGCTATATCAGGTTAGTAGTGTGAATAAACTACTTATTTCAGAGTATGAAGATAATAAACGAAAATCTTAAAGTTCAGTATTTTTTTACCATACTTTTATCAATATACAGTTTAGAATGTTTTCTACAAGTTAGTTATAAAGTCTATGACTAATTTACTTCAACATCATGTGTTGTATGTGTTACAACATTTTGTCCGTAATCTCTACATTTCACAATAAAAGCGAAAATTCGAGCAATTAGAATCCTTTATGTCTTACGTTATATTAGTAAAGACAATCAAAAGGAAGACACAAACTTAGGTTTCTCTCAAAACAACACCTTTCAATAAAGTTTATCTCCAATCTTATAATAACCTGGTCATTCGGAGCTGTCAACACATGAGTTATTTGACAAGACACTTTCCTTTGGCGAAATCGAGACTTCTACGGACTAATTATTCGTTTATCTATAATTAATATTATACTATGTCTTACTGATGTTTATTTTTACAGAGTCACCATCGAATACGTTTATAAACCTATAAGCAGCTCCGAATTCGTCTCAATGCAAATCCTACTCAATTTTGAAACAGGTTACTTAATAATACAAGAGATTGCAAAAGAAGCAAGTAATATTCAGTATGCTGAAGAAGAAATAACATATATTCCTGAACAGATATGCAAAATGAAGTTCATTTGGTACGATAACTCATTAAAGGTAAGTGACTTCTCCGATTTCAATCTCTATTTAATTGATATATTTTGGTGATCATTTTTGATTGTAACTAAAAATAAATAAAACAATAATGTGTGAGATAGAAGTTATAATTTCAAAAGTTCAGTGTTTTATAAGATAATCCAAACATTTTTGTTAGAGCTGACTTCATTTTTGTCAGTTAAACACTTGATGAGTTTGTGACACCTATATTTTCCAAAATCATCAAACGGACTTTGTTATTTTTCCTCATAAATACACTTAAAAATCGAAATCTGAGACGTAGTGCTTAGATTTTAAATACTAGTTAATGCATATATAGTCAATTGACATCTGTAACACAAAATGTCTAAATTTACCTCATTGTTGGTACAATATTTGTTTTTACCCCAGCTCGAAAAGATTGCCAAAGCTATTATCAGTATATCACTATTCGTTTTTAGGACCTGTATTTGTGACTTAATCATGTAAATTGAATTACGAATTGCTGTAGTTAAGCTTTCCGTATTTCGAAAAAAATATACCTGAATTGAATCATACTGTCATCATAAATGGTTAAGGTTGCACATTATTACTATTAATAATGTGAAAGAATACTCAGATGGTAACAGCAAGTTTGTCTGTAGACATAAGTAGCATACACCACACTAATAGCAATATTGTACGGCTAATATCTTGAATAAATTTCATTTCTACCACTTATGGAAATCAAAACCAGTTATCATTGTATTTGGTAAATTTTTTACTGTAATAACGGAAACTTAAAATTTACCACACATTACAGATGTTCCTGAAAAAATTAGTTTTTTTCATTATAGCACATACCTTTTCAGTGATAAACTGAGAGATATTGAGGGTTTTATCGAAGATTCTTATGTGTGCTGATAATAAATTAGACTTTGCTATTTAGTCCTACTTTTCGTGCATAGAAATTTCTACTTGTTCCACAAGCTAAAACAATCAAGAGATTTCCCAATGAAAAATGAATCAACATCCTATTTTTAGTTGTACTGATAATGAATCTAGTTTGACATCATTAATTTTATTCAGTTTACTTAATTGTTTTTTTTTAAAATCAATAGTGTAAACTATTTTTCTATATCTCTACTATTATCTTTACTATTAGGTCCTTCTTAATAGTGAAGAATCAATAATGTATAATTTCGAACAATACTATCCTCTTCAATTCTTATCACATATACGAATCAATGGAGATTTCATGCTTTTAAATGCAGAACTTCAATTAGATGAATAATATAATTTATTTAACCAAAGTATTTATAATGCATGTATGTCTCCTAGCAACAAAAAATGAAAATGAATATAAATACAATACATATTGGATGATTTGTGACGTTTTAACCATGACTGATATTAAATAACGTCACAAAAACTAAAATGTATTTTACTTATTAATTAATGAATTAATCTACTTTATTTTCTATTCAACTATTTCGTAATAAAATTTGTTGAACATTATTTTATAGTTAAAGTATTCTCTTTTTTTCAATGGGTTGATTATATAATATACAAATGTGTCTTTTGTTCATTATTTTCATTCCTCATTATTACCATTATTATTATTACCTTTATTGATAATAAGTTCGAATCCTTGAATTTCTAGAAATTCTTGTTTTCTTTATTTTTCATCATTGAATCTTATTTATTCAGTAAAATTTATTCATTATAAATTTATATCTTAATGTATTTGTTTAAATATGCTGATCTTATTATTATTATTATTATTCAAACTATACTATTGTTGGTTTTCAAAATGAATTATTGTTTTATTTCTATATATAACTTTTAAAAAAAGATCTGTTCAATATTGTATCGTATAGTATAGATAATTGATTGATATTACATATACATTCACAATGAAGAAAGTCGTTCAGAAAGTAAAATATTTAAAAGATGATAATAATGAGCTTTATTTAGTGTAGTTTAAAATGTTTTGTTTATTTTATTATTTTAGTTGTAGGTAAATGAAAAACAAAATGTGTTGGTTTCTTATTTTATCTAAGTTCATTTTTTTGTTGTTTTTTTTATAAAAAAAAGAAAAACGTTTCTTTCTATTGTGAATGACCTAACTTGCTTTTTTTAATTTTTGAAATTTCAACTTAATGGTTGTTTTAATTTTTTTTAATCATTTTGTTAAATTAGCAAATTTCATTTTCTCACTTTAAAAAAAATGAAATAAAGGAATATGAACAGGTAGAAATGATGCAAACTGAAAATAATAAAAAAACATAATTAATGCTCAGATATACTTGGGAAGAATGTTTTTTAGACAGTTTGAAAATATGAAAAATGAAGATAATAACATTTCTGAATACTTACCTTAGCAACAATATTAAAGACTGGTAATGTTTGATCTGATTTATACAAGATTTTGTTGAATAATCAATCAATCAATATGTCTGTATGAATAGTTAGTATCGGTACGAAATCGGTCTGTTTTGAGTTACTTCTTCTGTGTTTAATTAATTCGTGATTGATGTATTATACTCAGCTAGAAATTATATTGTAGCACTTGCGTTTCTACTGTATTTTATTCGAAAACAAATTCACAAAAATATACGTATAGATAGAATCATTAATGTATTTCTTTCCATTTTCATATCATTAAAAAGGTTTACACTTTAAATGAAATATCTAAGTGGTAAATGGTGGTTGTAAATTAATAATTTGTCCTATGATAATGTTTATTGCTAGAAGTCATTTAGAATACACAAAATAGCTTATAACTTATTGTGATCATTAACTCACAAACCAGTATGAATATAGACCATCATATTCTTCATTTCTTTGTGTTGTTTAATACGAATGCTTTCCAAACAGAAAGAGTACTTAATTGGAGCAAGTAAAGTTATAAAAAATAACTTGCTACGACTGATAATGAAAATATTATGATAAAATACTTGATGATCATTATCAAGACGATTTTATTGACAAATATCATAGCGACAGAAATAAGAACTCTAAGTTGAATTATTTTTAACACGGATTTAAAATTTAGTTTTATAAATAACAGTTTGTTGAAATTGCCTTTGAGAGGATTATCGTTCTGTAGGATGTTTCATAAAATACAAAAATTATAAGTCGTGTAGATAAATGGATTCGAATTGTACATATTTTTCCCCATAATTTTTGTTTGTTCTGACAGAGATCTAATTTTAGCGACTTCATATTCAAAGTAGCTTTGTAATGAAGCTTTACTTCTTGTCCTGTTTTAAAGTGTAAAGTGCGTAGATCAATGAAAGATATGTCTAACTGAAGGTGAGCTTTATTGCTAAATTTTCGATGCAACGGTATACCGGGGCGACGATTTTTGCTTAATTGTTACTCAAGAGATAATAATGTAATGGTTCTTTGATATATCGTATCTAAGACATGTCGTAACTGTGTATTTATTAGAGTTTATTTGATTGTCATAAAACTTATCTATGTCTGTGAAAGCAGTCATTTAAAAACACATTTTTGATTTAAAATACATTAAGACCTTAATGGTCAGCACTTTTTTTCTGGTTCGCGATTTTTTAGAGAGTAAGATTTCTACGGGATGTAGTCGCCCCCGGAGGGGCTACAGGTGGAGTGTTGATTTCTCCAACTGTTGTAATAAATAAAATATGTATCCACAAACTAAACCTTTCGTTATATGAATGAAATCGGTAGGAAACATTTCCATAATAAACAAATGATTAATGATGATGATAAATGTTAATAATAACAAACAAAATCCTAAATAAGATATAATTACGAAACATATTGTATTGAAGTACAAACGGAAGCAAATTACCTTTCCGTTACAGTAAATAGCTTACATGTAAACAAGCATTAAGTACTTATGTGTATCGAATACATTATTTAATTTTTATACATCTGACTTACATCCATATAAGAAATAACACCCACATTATGGCGAGCATCATCAAACAAAGCCACTCCTTGTTTATTCAGCATCATCAACAAAGTATCACTGAACTTTAGAATTGATTAACTTCGGAGGTTACCTATTTTTCAACTAAAACTGTATGAAAACTGTTTCGACATAAGCCATTAATAGGTAGAACTTATAAGTCTTTAAAGTATTTATTATTTTACAATACTTTCGATAAAACGAGCAACCATTTTATCTGTGCCGTTACCGCATAAATAAAAAAAGTATGTTAGGCATTAATGTATGACTTTAGTAATCCTGTGTCGATAAGTATGGAATGAATAGCTTCTGAAATTGCTCAACATAGATATACATCTTCAGTCGGGGATAATAACAAAAGTAAAAATAAAAAGTAAAGTATGGTACCATTTCGATTGTGCTCTACAAATAACACCATACTCTCCTTCAAACTGTTAAGGAAATAGCAGTTAACAACAAACAATAAATAATTTTGATACTATTCAATTGTATTCTATTTGTAATTTGCTGATACAACCAAATAATTAACAATTCTAATAGAGTTTACAAGTTCATAAATCAATATCTTGAATAAAATCAACCAATTAATTATTTTATTTTATTAATTTTTTTAAAATTATTATGTTACTGCCAAATGCATATGATGCAGACAAATATGCTTTTGTTTTATGTGGGTATTCAAATAGATTGGCGCCAAATATATATATATCTTAATGATGTGCAAAAACTGAACAAATAAATATCTTTATATTGTCAATTTTCATTGTTTTGTTTTAATAATAGATAAAAGTGAAATTGTGCACTTTTGTAGGAAATAGGGTTTTAATAAAATATAAAAGTACAAATAAAAAAATAAAGCTGGCAATCATCAACATAGAAAGAAGTTTGATTACACATAATTGTGTGAATACTTTTAAAACTATTTCTAAATAAAATATAATAATTTTATTTCTGAAAAGGGGGGGTATAAATAATTGTGGAAAAAATAAAGTATGTAGATATTTCTTGTTGTCATCGTAAATAGACATTTCAAGTTGAGTATCGTTTTTTTTGAAAAATCATTTGATTGTTTTAATTGTCAGGACAAATTAAAGAATTGGAATTATCACTCACTTTTATCGATTTCATTTAATTTCCTTTAAGAGAACTCATTTAAATTTTGGTTTAAAGTCTTTAAATCTTTCCATTCTGTGTATTTCCGTTAACATCCTGAAAGACAATGATGATAATGATAACTTATTAATGATTACCAGGTCCATATAACATGAATAGTAGTTTAAATATATTGCACATAATAATATACATCGTATTCGTAGAGGTTACGATCTGATCTTCAAATGTTCTACCGTCTTATGCTAACAAGAAATGTGGAAAGGTAAATCGAAATATGCTTTACAATGTATTGTAGCTTCCAACGGTATGTGTCATTTATCGAAGCAGCAGACGGGAATTTCTACCAATATTTGAGACATCAGTTATTGTCCAAAAAGCACAAGTGGTCGAACGCTTTTAGACAAGCTGCAATGCTTCTAGATCAAAGCAATACAAATTTCGTTGAGACGACCCATCGAATTTTAAAGTTGCATAAGCTGAACAGAAAAACATCCGTGTTCAGATCGATATTTAGTGTTCTGCTTCGCACTGGATATTGGATAGAAGCTAGAGTTCAAAAGTACTCCACTGAATGCCGTAGCAGGGCTGTGCTGGGTCGCGAGCCTACTTGTGTCGGCGTATGTCTGCTGAACAGCATACCGCTCTACTTAACTATGCTCATCAGTTGCTTAACGATGGATTACCCACTACCATCACAATGCCCGTCGTCCGAAATACCACAGGCACCAACCGTCAACAGAACGTAGATTTGGATGCTACCTTAAATGTTGACGAGATTGAAGTAATATCTATGAACTCAGAAGTGTTTACGGACCGAGACAATGAAGAAGACGAACGTGCGCGCAATGACCGACTGTGTGATATTTGCCATCTACGTCAGACGCCCAGTGAACTAGCTGATGGAAGTGTTTGGATTTCTTGTCCATGCGACGCTATGTTTCATTCGTTCTGTGCCTACGACCCAACAGAAGTATCACCTGGGTTCAACTGTCTCATGTGTGGCGCTGTCACGTACTCATAGTGTTGTCATCGATCAGGACCTAAGGAGCTGTGTAGAGACCGAGTAAAGGCCCTTTTCAGGGCCACCCACAATTTGATTTAAATTTTGTTTGAATTTCTTGTTTCCATTTTAAGGAGGAGTCATGAAACCATCAATAATTCATTTCACATTCATATGATTTGGTTACTAGGTACAGTAGAGAAATGTAGTAAGATCAGTTCACTAGTACAACCAGATCATTTCTATTGCTAAGGTCAAGTGAACAGACACTGATCGGTCATCACAATTCCATAGTAATTAAGCTGTAGATTAATAATTATCATCGCTCACTTTATTACCATGCCAACAGCTTTCCAGGTTTTTCAAATTTAAGGTTTCCGTGAACGATTCCGTGATACAGTGATAAACGTCATTTAGACGTCTTATAAATAAATGTACAGATTGAAATACAATATTCTAAATACATAATGGTTACTTGATACCTTACTTGACCTTATTCCACATTAAGTCATATCATTGAAATAGAAATTTATTTCACTAGACATAGGCTTGTTCATTGACACTTCATTCAACCTATATTACACATATGCTTGTCAAAAAAGGTTACTTTTTCAACATTCAGCGATTTACTGTTTGACAGTTTAAGAGGAGTAATTATTATCTCTTTGTGACGGAAAATGTACATACAGTTATTCATTGTTCGTCCAGTATGTTTAACAAAGGAAACTGTTGGATTTGGAAATATAATTTCAGTCTTTCTAATTAATTAACGTTTACAATGTTATTTACTAATGAAAATAAAAAATTCAGATCATTAATTTGAAAGGCTGTGCACTTAAAAAACATTGGCTGTTAACATTAGCTGCCAAAAAATATTATGCCCACCTCACAAATACAATTACTGTATTACATGACTGAGTACACTAACATGTATTTTCGGTGATCATTAATAAGTGATCAACTACAAATAATGTACAGGTCAGCATATTTTATGCTTTGAATGGATTTTAAAAAAACCTTGATATTGCGTTCATTTTCAACACCCTTTCCAATGCTAAAATGATCCACTTTTTGGTATTAAGAATAACGGTTTGCAAAATAACTGAATTATAAAGATTATTTGCTTTTTTCTCAGACATTATTACTAATTTCAGACAGCGTAAAAGTTGCTTCTTTTACACATCTTTTACGGTTAGCGTGACTTCGGCATGCCCCATTCACTTTCTCTTCATCATGATTTATTCATATATTTACACGAATATGTTTATTAAATTAGCGAACTATGTGTTAAATTAACTTATGGGAATACTTAAATGAAAATGTGTTCACTAATTGTGTATTAAACATTTGACTATCTTTTTTGAAATTCAATAGCCACCATTATCAACTATTATGTAATAGCTGTCAGTTTTTTCAAAAATTAACTTTCAATGATCCACACATTATTATTACTCTTGTCACGATAACTGATAACTTCAGTTGCATTTCTACTTCATAAAAAGAAATTACATTCACTAACAGGAGTATAGCAGGGTAATGAAATGGATTTGTTTTTGTTTTTTTCGAAGTTAAAATTTTTTACTAAACTCAGATGGAACAATGCGAAAATAGTTCATTATTGTAAATATTATCGAATGTAAAAATGTCAATTCTTACATCCAATAAAAGCACTTTATTCTAGTTCGATTTGAACGAATCAGATTACAAAACTGCACCATTTACAACCAATTAAAAAATTAATACAGGTGACAAAATGTTTGTTCATTTGCACTTGAGCACACACATTCAAAGACAAATTCGCCAATCACCAAATGCTAAATTTTTTTCACATCCTTTAATTTCCAAAAAAAGGGTGGTAGAGGATTATACGAGCCGTGATTCTAATGTCAACCGTCAGTTAGGATGAGACTGGAAAATCATAGAGGTGAATTAAAATCATTGTCTCATGATTTACGTAAACAAAAATTGGTGAAAATTAAAAATACAGCACAGTAAACTCATATAAACAGTATTGCAGGTTGTAAAGCAGCCGATCAGGACCTGAATAAAATAAAAGTATATATGTTATTCAGCTGAAATCGTTATTTCTTCTTGATACATTAGTTGTTTGTCATACAATCAGTACGTATGTGTTCTAAGCTCCGTACTGTGGTGTGGTCTACTTATATCCATATAAGTAGTATATGGTGTGGGTCAGACATAGAATGTATTTTGGCAGTAGACCGGTGAACAAAGAACTGAAATGAAGCGCAATCGTTTGGAAAATGCATGAGCAATGGAATAAGAGAAGAAACAGTGAAGACTGAAACAATTGGTTGTTAATTTGCAAATTGACTGTTCATTGTTTGGTAATCAGAATTTACTCAGATAGTCTGTAATCTTTGCTTAAATACATTCGATTGTCCCCAACCAGTGTTTTGTTCACTACAGTACCACTGTTTGTTTAATTGCGTATGATGCATATGATTGCGTATAATGTATCATATAAATAACCACAATATGATAATTCCATTAAAAGACTTAACATGTGTCACATATGCTAATATTACCTGATTTTTATTTATGAGTAAATGCACCATTAGGCCTTATTTGATTTCGACATCATAAAAATGTCATGTATTTTTGTACAAAACACTGATTTGCAGTACCGCTTTTGATACTTAAAAAAAAATATTTCTGTCAATGCAAATGCTATGGGTTTCAGTCCCTCAACATTAAAACCGTTTTCTCTGTTTTCAATGAAATAAAAATATCTCGCTAGACCTATTGTGCAGATTGTAATAGTCCCGAATCTCATTTTCATCCTGATTGATACTCTACCGCAAAGCATATATATAATCAAGTGAGGATCCCGTTTTGTATGTGATTTCAACCTGCATCACATAGTATCACAGTCAAAGAAGTTGTCACTGAGCTGTTCTGCTTGCTGGTAACTTTCTACAGGATCAAATTGTTTGCACTGATAGTTTGTTCAATAGTTAGAACGTCATGTTTGTCTAGTAGGTAGTTTTGATTGATTTTAATTGTAAAACATAAATGTCACTTGATATCGTTCAACTTTGTCCAAACATCCAGACACGTTAGTGTGATGTCGGGACACTTGCATTCCATTTTGTACAGGACACTAAAAAAAACGTAACTTCGGTTTCTATTCAATGATCGGTTAGGATAAGAAATGCATTTTCACTATTGACTGCAGTCATTCTATTTTCAATCTAAATACAAAAATTCAACATTCCAAAGCTTGAATTTCTACGAAACTTCACTAGTATATGTACTGAAAAAAACTATCCACACTTAACTTATTATTCGGAGCATAAATTAGTTATTCTGATATGTATTAGTGATAATCCAGATCTTGTAGGAAAGTCTGAAATCATTCACATGTAAAAATCACCAGTTTTGATTTTTTTTCCAGGAAAGTAATTCAGATTCAAATTTCTTGTTAAACATCTTTTGTTATAGAAGGGGTTTTGTGGAGATTTAGTATTTATCATTGTTGAAAGCGTGAGTCAATTGAAGCTAGACCACCATGGAAAACCTGGAAACACTGGACGGCCGTTTCGTCCTATTATGGGACTCCTCAGCAGTGCGCATCCACGAACCTGC